TTTCTAATGAAAAAAAAAAATCCCTCCTCTATCTTGGACATTCATTCCCTGCAGAATTAATGATCTGAGTTCAATGTGTATGTTGTAATTAATACCTTACAAATAAACAAACAGCAAGATGGCATTGACTATTTAGTTGATATTACAGCTTACATGAAATATTAACCTTACTAGAGACAGAATTTCAACACAATAGCTGCTCAACATTTTAAAAAACATTGTTATCACTAAATATTAATTGCTTTTAAACTCATATCTGTATGTTAGTACACTCTACGAAGTTTTCTATCATGATTTATTACAATTCAGTTTATTTGCCACCTAACCCAACCCCAATTCTTAGTTTTTAAGCATTTTTTGATTGTGTAAACTAACTTTCAGTAGATGTAAAAAACCCTAAGAGTTCTTCAGGCTTTCAGATGTTCTACAGCAAATAAAGACTACAGATCACATTAATGTATCTACATGATATAAAACCTAAACACATACCCTGAGAAAAATTAACAGACACACATCAGTAAGAGTTTCAAAGCTGGATGTGCTAAAACCTGAAGGTTTTTATTCCTGACAAATGCTGACGATTCAAAACTTTGTATTCTAAAAGTCATAGCAGTATAAATTCTGTTTCAGACAAATATAAGCAGGTACTCTTTGACTTCTCTCATTTTTTGTGAGAAACTGAGTAGCTTAATTATACATACTCTTGATGTAAGCATCAGAATGGTTTCTTGGTTAAGAGCTATAAATCTACCCCTAAGTCACAAATATTCATACACAACTACCCATAAAAGCATACTTCTGTGCAGCTGCATGAAGACATGCTGTCTCAAAGAGAATGGAGGAGTCGATTTGATTTTTCCTTAAAAACTCCAAATGCATTTTCAGAAGGCAGATTAAAAAAAAAACAGATTTCAGAGAAAACAACAGAATGGCATATATACAAAGAAAGTTAATCCAAGATTGGTTCCACAGCCAGACTCACGTTCACTGCATGTGCTTTCAGCTCATTATGCTAAATTTGACTACCCTAATTTAATTTCTAATATATTGACTTGTTTCAACTACCATTCTGGTTTACATAGCTCATGAGAGCCTAAATTTGCAACTATGCAGAATGAAAGCATATTTGGATTGATAGTCCTTTCCAGGTCTTACCTTCCCCACCCCCAATCTTTCACATCTGCTACTCTCAGTAAAACAATTTGGTTATCTTCAACATTCACAAACAGTTGACTGTGTTCAATTCCTATATACAAATGACTTACAGGCAATATTTTCTTCAGGCCACAACGTAAAAACTCATTTCTCAAGTGTATCCTGAAATCAAGATCTTCTGGAGATGTAACAAGGGCATTGATGAGCTGCATACATGCTACCTGTTATCAGAAATATAGGCAAAAACTTTTAGTATATACAGAATGAAAATTAATACCATCCTTGACTATTTCAGTTTAATTATAAAACTAAGTGTCAAGAGATGGATATTATTTATTATGCGGCACACATGCAACACGACCGGTTAATTTAAGCAACATCAAATACTGCCATTTTCATATTGTGCGTGCTTCTGCTATGTCAAAGTTGTATCACATAAAGGATCATACTTTATTTCAGAAATTTATTCCCACAGTACAGTTCCACATTGCAACTCCTTCTCTTTCCCCTCAGTATTTGCCAATTTGAAAACAACCTGTTTTTACAGTAATCAAAAAATTTAAAAAAACAGCAAAACCACCCCAAAACACACCCATACACAAAATAATTCACATCACCAGGTGTCTTTTCTACTCCTGCACAGCACTTCTGCAAAATGCCTGAAGTCTCAGGATACTGGCTAATGCTTTAATTGAACAGCTGTGCACTGTAATTGGTTTACTTTAAAACAGGTAGACAATAGCATAATGCCAAAAGTGCTGATCCACATTAAAAAATTAAAATGGGACTCCAGGGAAATACCAAGTCTGGTAAAAGATGTTAACTGCAAATAGAAGTAGCATTAGAGTAGAAAAAATAAATAAATAAAAATCAATAGCTGCAGAGAAAAAAAGCCAGATAAAAGCACCCTTCCTGTTTTAATTACATTCTCTATTTAGTTTTAATGGACCACCTTATGGAGTCTTAAATTTCTATTAAAACGCTCGTTCAAAGGCACTCCCTTTATATAGCTGCATCTTCAGATAATGTAGTATCATCATGCTCGCTTGAATGATTCTTGTTATTTTACTACTATGACATGACTTAACAAGCCAAAGTACATGTCCAATCTGAAATTAATAGAGAGAAGAGGTGCCATCTGCTATGATTGCTTTTGCCAGAAGAGACTCTAGCTTAATGGCTTGTGCTAATACTTTACAAGTAAAGAACGATTTTGTCAGAAACAAGTTAATGAGTCTTGCAATTGTACCTTTACTGACGTATAAGTGAGGTTGGGGGGTAGTGGGGAGAGGCAGGAATGTTGTGTGGTTGGTTTTGTTTGTTTTAAATCAACAAGGTCATAAAGTAGAAGACAACTTCAAAATGAATTCTTTTGTGATAGCATTAATAAGATTAGAATGTCATTTATAGAAACTTATTGAACATCATTAACTCATCAGCTCTGAAACAAGGAGTACTGACGGTAATCACAGCGTTAGGACAACTATAGTTGACACATATATGATCTAATAATGGAAAAAGGTGTCCCTTCCATGCAGGTATACCTGCCCTGCTTGCATTCTAGTTTTCCGTATCTTTCAGCCATGGTAGCTGAAATACAAATTTTATCAATACAAAATTTGTATAGATACTGTATTACGAGAAGGAAATAAGTCAGTCATCCTTTAGCAGGATATTCAGCCACTTGGTCTCTATGGAAACACTTGCAGTTACCAAAAAAGGCAATTAAAGCTTGCATTCTAATAGCAAACAAAACTCTTGGGCTATTCAGGTGTATACAGAGAATAAAAAACTCTGTCCACTGACACATAAGCAGCAATGAACATGTGACATAGGACATTACTCAGTAAAGATCACCAGCACAGAAGACTGTTTATTTTATTATTTTATAAAAATAATTTTAAAAACTCACTAGATTATCCCTAGAGATGCACCAGTGGCTGACGAAGGGCAGATGTCAAAACACACACCAAGGAACGCACAGTTCTTGTTGACAAAAGCATCAATGATATCCTGCTGCACACTACTAATCTCAAAAGGTACCTTGGCAAAAATGGACACACCCCATCCACATCTGTCATAGTTGTTATGTATCTGAATATTTAAGAGGCTGCATATACTGCTGCCAAAAGTCCCAGCAGTAGTAACACAGCTGTATGTATATCTTAGAAATTTCTTAGAAATGGATGAAATCTGCATGCCTATCCTAAGGAAACAGTATTACATTTTGTAACACAAGGACTCAAAAGGACAGGTTAGCATAAAAAGTAAATTACTACACTCTACCCATAGGGCAACAGCACTGTAGTTCCTGAAGTAATTCTTTTCAATACATGACTTTGTATGAAAACTAAGCACTCCCTGCACAAAGACAGTTAACATTAAGCTATGTGTCTATCTTCAGCTGACTATAAAGCCAATATAGCGAAGGTGAAAGCTATAAAAAAATATACTTGACACTGATCAGTTGTCACTGTGGCTTATTTCTGTTTAATGTACGAGGATGGCTGTGTTAAGAGGATGGCTATGTTGGATGACATTGAGCTTTAAATATCTAAAACTAGCAGTTTTACTCCCACTCAATTTACTTCTCATATTACTAAATGATTAATGAATTATCACTATCCTCACGTCATTAATTTTTTAAAAAAGGTCAACCATTCAATTTACCAGAGATTGGCTAGGATTTAACCTAAGTTGTCATTAACAGGGAGAACGATAACAAGTTACCAAAATCCTTCATAGCCAAATAAAACTTTTGACTGCAGTTCCTAGAAAATTTCACTAGGAAAAAAAAAAAAAAAAAACTTCAAAATGCTTGACTATTTTAAGAAAATCTATGCTTTCTATTTTTTCATTTAGTAATATTACAAAAAGGTGAACAATACTGGAAGTACGTTCTTGCCACAAGTACTTCAAACAGTAAGATACCTGAAGTGTGTGCTCAGTGAAGGCATTCCAGTTGTGGTTCTAAATTAAACTCACTTCAAGAGCACAACACAAACTTGTTCTGTCTTTTTACAAATGTATTACTTCAGTGGAATCAGTTCAAAACCGTAAGTACAGGAGTTTTTCTTTACTTTGGGTGGGGCAAGACTGGGGGGAGGGAAAGGGAGTGTTTAAACAAGCAATGCAACTTAGGAGTACTTTTTCATGCTTCTTCCCTAAACCCAAAAGATATACAGGGAGCACGGCCTCCAAATCCTTAAACTGCAACTTCCTCAGGGCTCCAGTAACAATAACTAAAACATTTCAGAGGACAAACTAAGAGCTGGATTTTTATTGGTCCATTAAACCACGCAAAATTCCCGGACAATAAGATTAAGCAGTGACAAAGATAATAAAATGCTTTCACAGACTTATTACCTGAGCATTGCATCTGGCATCCAAGAAAAGGAATATCTCTAATTACTCTCTTTTTATTAAGGTCAAGACTTTTTAATCCTATTTTTGGGACAAGGAAGTGAATTTCTTGGTTTCACACCATTAACAACTTGAAAATCTGTTATCAGCAGGCCATTTCTATTTATTTTTCCTCTTTTACTGAACAATGGAGTAATAACACTAAAAGATTTTGCTGGTAAATAATTTAAAGGTCATAAAATACAGAGTCTTCTAGTATTTTAGGTTGTTCCTGAAGTATTAGTAAGCATATAAAAAAGTAAACCCACCTGCAGTTGTAAGAATTCATGGTTTTCCAGTCCTTCAACAATGTGAGAAAAACGTTCCCTATTGTGCCTTTCAGCAGCAGTTGTGATAGCACCTAAAAGCTTGTCCAGACTAAGAGAAAGATAAACTGTCAAAAAGCGTACCACAGTCAACTTTCTCATTTTAAAGATACTTAGCCCACTATTTACACAACTCAAGACTTTAGTGCACTGACAGAGAATCTGAATGCATTTATCTACACTTATCCATATAACGTCGAAAACAAACCAAGAACCAAGTGTTAAAATATCTACAAGATTAATGTTGAATAAAAAAAAAAAAAGGTGAATAAATCTCTAAATTATTGTGACATTCAGCTAAGAAACAACCAATGAGAAAAAAATCACTACCTTTGCAAGACTGTGCACTAGGTACTAGCTGACGTGTTTGACATCTGGGAATAATAATAAATTGTCTTTTCAGAAATCAATGTTTTTATCTATTTATTACATACAAGACATGGAGTTTGCCGTTTTTAACCTTCCGTAAACTAAGCCACTCAATAATTCAAAGCAAATGTATGCCAGTTGATTATCTTTGTTTTAAAAAGCTCATGGACATGTGCTACATAACTCCGTAACTTGAACTATTCAAAACTTCAGCTATAAATGTAAACCTTTTGGCCCTGTCAATTTTGTTATGTTTAGGCAGAAGTGATATTTTAATAAAAACCATAAATATATTTATTTCTATATTACTAATATTATCTTCTAAACTAATGAAAAATCTTAACATGTGGTGTCAAATCAGTAATTTTCAAATATAATAAATTAATCTGCTCTCCTCAGGGGAGATGTCCTAATCTCAATGCTCCTCACAGTAATAGCCTCAGTAGTGCCCCATGCTAACACACATTGTTCTAAATTGTCTTTAAATCTGACAGCTTTCCTTGTGGCAATTAAAAGTTCACAATTCCTGATCATACTCATCAGGGATATATGAAATAACTTATATATTCTTTTTTCAGCAGCCATTTATGAACAGTTATGGCTCATTAAGTCTTCTCTTCTCTATAGTAAGCAATCATAGTCCTTTCAGACCTTCCACTTAAGACACCGTCTGTAGATCTCTGCTCATTTACTTTTGTCTGATTTAATATTGGATTAATGCATCAGAACAGGTGAAAGTCTCTTTTCATTTAAACTACATTAAGAAAGTAAAGACTTAACAGGTTACATTTGTTTCTCTAACAAGTTCTCACCTGCGTCCAAACTGACAACTCATGAGCATTCAAAAAAAATTGTTTCAATATCTTACTTACATATTTTCCTCTCCAACAATGCAGATAGCAGAAAGTATTTTCACTGTTTCAGTCATCATGTGTGGTTGCTTTGGATCAATTGCTCTTGATAACAGCAAGAGACTTCTTTCATCTCCTAGAATCCTTTGCAATCCATACTTAAATAAACAAAAAGCTTACAGTGAAAAGATTGTAATTGCCTCGAATACTCATCATCATCTTTGGGCTTCAGATGCTTAGGAATCCTCACCCCCCCCACCCCCCATATGAAGTTTGGCAACACGCTAAAACTTAGCGGGTATTACTGCTTGGGGACACAAGTCAGTCGTCCCGATCTTACATTTGAGGCTTTCTCCTAAGAAAGAAAGTGAGTCAGCTCTTAAGGAAGATACCGTATCTTGTAAAACCAGGTATCCACCAAAAGAGATACCGTATCTTGTAAAACCAGGTATCCTTCAAAATACAAACCAGTTTTTATTTTCTATCTATATCTGAAACACCCTCAACAGTATGAAAAATTTGTTCTTTTTTTTTTTCCTGTAACTGTAACAGCTCCTGGCAGGTCAAAATAATTTTTTCCACACAATGACTGATAGAGGTTGAAATTCTTTTTTGAAACAACTATCTTCTTGTATTTATTGTATATTCTATTTCACTTTCTGTACAACTAAATAAAAAAAAAAAACCTTACACAGTAGCATTATTTTTCATTTTCATTAACTACAGGATAGTTGGTAAATCAGATATCTAATTGTTTGACGTTACACTGTAAGTGTAGGAATAGCGGGGGGAAGCATGTGACCATTTAAGTTTACTTTTCCCACTTCATCAGACAGGCTATTCTGTCAGTGAGATTTTACTAAACTGAGTAACAGTAGTTAAAATTACAAGTTTAACACATCAACTTCTAGAAGCGGTACTCACACTTTGTGAACATGAGTAACCCATGTTAGAAACAAGTTAGAAACAACTTGAACTAGACCAAAGTTTCATCCTTTACCCACTACCTACCAACTTAAAAACTGTAGCTAAAAAGATATTAAATCATACTCAATTTAAAATCAGTTGAAAAGTACATGATATTAATAAAAACAATCATGTATTAAAATCAGAATTTAGAAAGAAATATTTTCCTTTCAATTTCACAGGGAATTAATTTCCTAATTCACTTATCTTAAATCCATACTATCATCCTCTGTTTGCTAAATATTTTACTTCCAAGTATCAATAATATTTAACAAAACTAAGACAAAATGCATATTCAGAAGGTTTATGAACAAGACTCTCAACAAAAAGTTACACTAAGTTTACGACCTACATTTCTAAAGAGTCAGCTGACACTGGATATACAAGCTTTCTTTCCTTTTCTGAGATTCAACATGCTACATAGATCTTGAAGTCAACAAAAAACAACCATGCTAGAAGTATCTGAATTTAAAATATTTCTTACTTTATTGTTCATAAATGCTTTGAGGCACTGGATAAGTTTATGTTGATTCTTCTTATCAATACTTTCCTGCCTTGAAAGGGAGTAGGAAAACAACATAAGTACAAACAATCTTCACAAGCTCCCCTACCCCTCCCTTCAAAAGATCCAAAGTCCTTACTGTTTCTTGTCCAGAAGCTTTTCCAGTACATCCAATAGAAGTCCAAGACCTTCATGTCCAAAATTGTTAACCCAGCTGGAAAAAGGAAGAAAAATGCTTTTAATTTCTTCATCAAATGTAAAACTTGCGAAGTTATGTCTCCAAAACTGCTTGTACATCTCTTCACAGACTCTGCCTTAAGGCTCGCTTCCCAGGAAGACCTGATCAACTATTAAGACAAATGCTTAGTTCCAACAACTAGAAGTTGTTGAGAACCACTGTGAAAGGAGAAAAGATATTGCAGACAGTTGCAAACATTTCACTTATGCTTCTCCAGTGTGCTGAGAACTCCTTTCTCATGCCAACAAGTATTAGCAAAATATTGCTGGTTTAAAAAAAAAAAAAACCCACCACAATTCTTTATTGCTAAGCAAAACCAGCATGATGAAAACTATAGCAGAAATTATTACTTACCTGACTGGATTGCTAGTTAGAGACACTCTCAAAGACTCTAGACAATTAAGGAGCTTTTCCTCTGAAATTCCAGATCGCAATTCATGAATATATTCTTGCGAGGACAGTGTGCATTCATGCTTGCTGTTTTTCAGTCCACCCTATCACAGAAGACAGAATGCTGCTTAATGTTATATTGATCATAGCAGTGTTTAGATGATAACATGTAAGGCCAATATTTCTGCGTGAATTTTAAAATCACCATTTTCACTGTAAAACTATTGAAGACCCCTGACTTGACTTTGATTTGTCGTTAAGTGTTTAATAGTTTAGGTTTTGCATCACAAGGGTAAATATTTTTCTGGAATCTTCTTCACTTCTTTGAGTAACGTGCATGTACTACATCTTGGATATAAAAATTTAATGCCATCATTCAGTTGTATTAACACGTTTAACTGCTACACACTTTCATTTAACATCTACTTCACAACACTGCAGTAGAAACAACCATAAACAGAGACACGAAAACCCCCACACTTGTTATTAAGCTTGTCCGATCATTCCCTGTGTAGCTGTCTTCTGTTTTGAAAAAGCTGTGCATTATCACTATGGACATATCCCAACTCTCAAATTAATTCTCTCTTCTACAAAAGCAAGGAAGAAGATAAGACACTGAAAATGACTTTGAAAAGGAGCTGCTGGCCATCAACTGTTAAATCAGTGTCTTTAAAATCATGCAACTGCATGACTCAATGATTTCTTGCCATAGCATAATTCCATGTTTGACCACTAACAGAGATCTTTAGAGGATCTTGTTTGTTACAGAAGAATCATATGGAAGATTTGACAAATAGCTCATCTCCCTACTGAAGCGTCTTTAGAGAAGAATAACTACCTACATTTCAGTATTAAAATGCCTGATAATCAGTTTTTAGAGCTGTAGTATTCAAAACCATGAGTAATATACAAAACATTTTACCAAAGGGTGCAAACTAATCTTTTGTACAGCTCTGACAAGTTGCAGGAAAGTAGGCTTATCTCAGAAGAGTGGTTACAATTAGTACGCAGCTCCTAAAGCTCCTTAGCTCTAAATGGTCTATTGAAGAGAACCTGATAATGATGTGTCATGGGTGTAAAGGCAGTATGAAAAGTGCCTGACCTAGAATAGGATTTATATGTAGTTGGTTTTACTTGTATCAGGAACTTCGCTGATACTGTCATCTTCTAATTGTCTCTCTTCCAAAAAGTTACACTTTTTATGAAGTTTCTGGTTTGCTCTATTCAAATTCTAACCATTTGTTTTCCAAAAATGGCACTAAGTATGGCTAATGACAAAATGACTTGTCTACATTTAAGTTAATGATTTTGACCTACATACATTCCAGTATTAATTCATATAACAGAGCTATGTAAATGTTCACAATGTACTTTCAGATTGTTTGTCCTCACCTCAACAAAACAAAAATCTGATACAGATTGTGAATGCATTAAGACAACAGTGTCCTCTGGACTGTGTCAACTTTGAAGATGTTTCTTGCTGACATGCATAGCACCTTCAGCTGGACAACGCATGCCATCGAAGGACCAAGACAGACATAAAGATGAGTAACTAGGATATAAAGGAACTACAACCTGTCACTATCAACCTCCTGAACAAAGAGATGCCCTTCCACCGAAGGAAAAAGAAATAAATGGGTGGAGGTCATCTTTATAGGAGTAGGAACTGACTTTAAAATCAGAGAAGTATATTAGCGCTACCTATTAGAAATCATAGTAGTACAGAAAAATCATCACTCTGAAAGACCGTAAGGTAAAGAACTAGAAAACAGGAACAGCTTTATGCCATTCATTGCATTGGATAGAAACCAAAAAAGATTATACGTTTAACTAATATACGCCATCTACACAATACTGGATACAGTTTTTGTCATTTCAGACAACAGCTGTTCCCTGGATACAGTTTTTGTCATTTCAGACAACTTCTAAAACCCTAAGAGTAAAAGAAGAAAACAGAAGCAGTGCTGTAAGCCACAAAATCTATAAAGAGATGAGATAACGGAAACTTCCATAAAATGCCATTACATGTTAAGCTAGACCCTGAAAAGCACTCTAGAATGCAAGATGTATTTGTTTTTCCAAAAAGGTTATTGCCTGTGGTTAGCCCTTCCACTGTAGTCTGCTGCAAGCTCCAAAGGAGATACCTATTCAGATGAGGCATTTAAGGTCTTTGCTATGTTTTCTTTCATATTTAAACCAAGGTGTACTCTTGCTGCCTCCTCTTTCTATGCGTCGAGGACATTAGTGAGTCTCCTCTACTCTATCTAGCCCCTTGTTTTCAGAAGACCTATGACTCCCTCAAAACCAGTTAAAATAGGTTAAAAGTTAGAGGAATTGGCAGCACCATCGCCTAAGCCTCCTTACCGTGCCTTACGGGACAGGCATATGTCTCCATTGTACGACTAAGCACCTTAACTGCAGAGCAATAAGGAACCACCTCTTCTTCCTTTTTTCCCCTCCTCTTCAAAACAGATGATCACTAAAGGTGGTTCATAAAAATCCATTCTCAAAACCTTTCACCCAAATACTCCAATTCAAGCTGAGAATTCTCTAGCATAACAGGATTACTTTCTGTTATTTTCTGCAATCAACTTTTCAGTCTCAATCCACTCTCACCTCTAGCCATGCTAACCCGAGTGCTACAACCAGGTGCTATTTCTTTTATTTTCCTATTCAAAGAGAGTTTGATTCGAATACTATTTTTAAGTAATGCTATGCCTTTACATGGATCAGATTCTCATGTATACACTTCTCATTTACTCTGAAGTACAAGGTCTCAGTGAAAGTTATGCTTTATGTGAGAGCATCTAATAAAGATGAAGGCAAAAGCAAAGTACAAAGAAACTCAAGAGAGTTAGGTCCCACACCAGAACTTTCAGAGATTAAATCAATGCACAAGATCAAAAATCTTAGAAATTACTTTATGACCAGTTACCTTCACAGTATTACAATTAAGAAATAGAATTATTCATTGATGACAACTCAAATGAAAGCCTGGACCACACATTTAAAATCCTTCTCTGCAGAAGATAGAAGTGATGAAGTTTTAGTGAAAAACTAAGCTTAAGGGAACTCCTGGAAGTGTCACAAAAAAACCCAAACAAGTACACAAAAGAAAAACTAGCTTGCTTTCGCATTAAGGAGGTAAATCTAATCAGTTCAAATCTGTGTGTAGGACACATTTCAGGGTTTAAGGGACAATAGCGACAGAGAGACAGGACTGACACCTTATAGTGCAGGATATAGTGAAAAAATAAACTTCAGCATAGTCTTCTCCCTACACAAACTTTGTTTTAATACTTAGAAAACCAGGCAACAATTAAATATTTTAGATATTTTTATTTCATTTTATCTTACTCTGACTCCAGGTGATTTCAAAGTTGTTAGCTAGACAAAGAAATTCCTCATCCAGGACCTTCGTAAATATTAGAAGGGACTTAACAAATGTCCAGCTTTATACACTAAGATGTGCCACCAGAGGCCCGTAAACAAGCTTAAGACCCAATATCTAACAAAATGGCAAAGCAAAAGCGTTTTGCTTTCCATGGGGAATAAGCAGATATTCTACCTACTTGGTAGTAAAGAACTGTGGAGCACACCTGAGCTAAATGGATGGGCTGTAACAGTTAAAATACAAGATCAGAAAAACCTGCACAAACTACTCCTCTTTGAGGCACCAGACAATTCAGACCTCATTAGGTCTTAAGCTAAAGCCAAGTTCAGCTGAAGAAGTTATAAGTATATTGCTTCCATGAGACAGTGTTTACTTCAGTGAGAATGCTGGCAGCCAGTACATTGAATAGAAATCTCGCAGTATCATAAGTGGTTGCTTCTACCATTGGGGGAGGGGGGGGAAATCACTCTTTAGACAGAAACAAGTAACTGCTACCAGCATCATTATTAAATAAGTGGAAGTAATAACTTATACTTTCCCCCCTGCCAATGACTAACTGAAGAGTTTTTGCATACTCCCTATTGATACAATTCTGTTTCTATCTCAAGCAAAGAAACCACTATATTTTAATTAGAGTATAATAACAAAGTCAGATAAGTTGTTTGGGGGAGGTGGGGGTGGGTTTGTTTTTAGGAAAGCAATAAAAGCATTTTCAATGATTTTTTTTTTTTTTTAAGCCACATATACTCTAGTTGTTGTACATTTGACTTGGAAAAGCAGTATCCTTGTTCAAGCTATGAGGAAACACTCTACCAGCTCCTGAACTAGAAATTGGAAGTTTACACAGTTCATATCTGCTTCACCCTGTAAATATCAGCCAAACACACTAATTCAATCCATTAAGAACAGAACTAACAAGCTAATCCTACTGTAGACATCTACATTAATGCCTTACAGATAAACAGATACACAGCTGCCATTTCAGTGCAATTATCATTGTCTATAAAAACAAGGAAAGGTTACCTTGCAGGCAGCTAAAATGACAAGCGGGCACCCATGCTTGAGATCCCAAGTAAAACTCAAATAAGTTAAAGCTCTAAACTCCCCATTAACAGGCAAACCTCTTCTCTGCAATTGTCACTACAACCCAACAGTACTAGCATCAACAGCCCAAAACTCTTCTGCTCCCTAACCACAGTAAATCTGTAAATCTTCAGGAAAATAACCACATATGCAGGCAGATGCAATCAACTCCCAAGGGATGAATCCTATAAAAACATATACTGAGAAGCACACCAAGATACATGCATTCTTTAAGCAATAATATACAGAAGCCATACTCTAAGAGGGACATTTCTTATTTTACTATTTTGCAAGTTATCTGTGCAAAAGCATGCTTTTAAAGCATAACTATTCTTGCTCTCCATCAGACTCTGAATTAAAAGGCATGGGGAAAAACACAGATATTAGAGTTTCTCCACTACCAATTCTGCATATACCAGTTTCCTTTATAAAATAATCTCTCCACAAAGCAGCTGTTCAGGCTAATTCATATCATAAAGAAATTACATGGCAGCAGGAATTATTTGAAACTGGTTTTAATGCACTGAACTGGAGAGTTAATAATTTTTCCCCTCAAAAATCAAATACCTTTAAATACCTTCATTGTGCTTATGTATTTTCTCAATCAGCATATGAACCCGTACTGTGTACAAAACTAAAAAGTACTGGTGAATACAGACAGAAAAGTCTGTTTAAAGACCACTCTGAATAAAGCAAAGCCAACAGCAATTTCTTTATCAATATGTGCTACATCCTTATATATTTAAAGTACATCTGAGGTAATGATTAGACAGTTTTAAGTCATAGGTTGCTCTTCATTTTTTTACTACAAAATAGAAATACTGAATAAAACCTAAGTAGAAAGCCTTGCAGTACCTGAAAAGCCTGCTTTGGCTGCAATCAGAAATAAAGTCCACCCATAATTAAAAAGTACATGCTTGATTTCAGCCATCATTTAAAATGTACATGTAATTAGTCCCAAAAAAATCTTTTTTTTCCAGGAAACAAAAATTTGCCGAATTCAGTCCAACAAATTAAGTCCCAAATACTTGTTAAAAAAAAAAAAGAATCACTAAATTCAACCATGACTTAACATGAAATGTAGCTGAGCACTTAATACGAGAAGTTATGCTGCTAGCAATCTCATCTTATGCCTATTAATTGACCTTCTGAATCCTCTATGTTAATATTATTCTCACACTGATATCCAGCAGCTGACATTTCCACAATAAACTATGAATGTTAACAATTAGGACATTAAAAAAATCCACATCTAAACAGAACGAAGTAAGCCAAATAGTGTAAATTTAAAGTTTCGAGTAATTGCCTTCAATAAAAAGCAAGAAAAGTCTAAATTATATTTGTTGCTCATGACGAACAGATGAGTTCTCAGTGAGTCTGAAGTATTTAGAAATAGATTCCTGAAAACTTAAAAACAGATCCCTCAAAAGTGCAATCAATGATCTTATATTGGTAAGATAAACATGATTGAGATAGCTGATAATTATTTTGATAGAAACAAGGATTCAGTTATGCCCACTGAACTTTTAAATCCAAGATAAAAGTCCAAAATATTCCAGCCTAATCTCTAAAAATAGAAGTGTATTCATAAGGAAAAAAAAAACAAACTATCATGTTCATACTCACCGGAACTTTACTTCCGACTATCTGCATGCAGTGGTCAGCCAAGAGAGGTTATTGTGTAAAAAAGATAATAATAATAATACATAAATAAACACAGCAAAGTACTTAGTAGGATGTAGCATCACACAATCTTTTCAGTGTTTAATCATTAGTAGTAGTTACATTCTTTTATTACTTTATCAAACTGTTTAAGAGTTACAGCTTCTCAACAGGAAAACAGTAGTTCCACTGTAGAAGAAATAATTTGAAACTCTTATGTTCCGCTGCTGAATCATCAGTATTTTACACATTTACAAACAAATAACTAAATACCTAGCTTGACATCTACATCTTGAAAGATTAAGAGGTATGCCATTTTGTTAAAATTATCAGGTCAGATATTTTATATATGACACTGAGAAAACTACAGAAAAAACTAATGGCATACTGATTTCGTTGTACATATAACAACTTCATTTATCATGGGGCTTTTGATCTATTTAGATGATGTCATCACTGAATTTAATTAAGTTTTCATAATCAAAAACATAGCCTACAGTTATAAATCTAACTTGCATTTCAGAAAATCTCATGTGGCATTTTTCTTCAACTGCTCAGTATGGATGCTTTTAATTACATGGATAATTAAACAGTGATTTACTGAATGACATCTTCTCTTTTTTACCATGGAACAGCATCTCTGCATATTCATGAACAAGAAGTTGACTTTACACAAAAAAAACTCTGCAGAAAGGCAGCACACCTCTGCCCGGTTCTGTTCTATCACTTTGCACAAATGACCATGTTCCTGTGAACACCAGGACTATGGACTTCTGCCCAAATATTGTAGGCCTTTCCTTGTCAGCTATTTGCTGCAATCTGATAGCAGCCAGTTTATTGAATAACCACTTTTATCTGAATAAGAGCCTGAGACAGTATGATTTTGTTCTGGGATCTGAATTTGATTGTATCTGTTCAGCCTCTGCCGGCTTCATTTTCTACTCTTATCTCTTCCATTATTCTTTTAGGAAGTCTTTCAGAAGACTGAAGTCCCTGCAAGTCTTTCACAATCACCTCTTCTCTCCTCTTCCTGACGAGGCTTCCTCTAGAAGCACAAGATGAACTGTCATCACCAGACAATCTCCTTTCCTAATTTACTACCTTCTTCTCCCACCAATGTTCAACTCATTCAGTATGACAGGTCACCAAGTTCAGTTCTGAAACAGAATTCTGAGCCATTTCCATTTCCCAAGTATAATTTCCATGGTCAACAATCTTTCTCTTCAAGTGAGAGAAGGAATCAGAAGCACCGATAATCACTTCACATGAAAGCATCCAGCTCATTAGCTTCTATCCTTCCTCCATCCCCCAAGGAAAAGGAAAGCTTTTTTTCGTCCCTTGAAAACCAAGGTTTCTTTCTCACTTGGAACTCTGAAGACAGTACAGTGTTTCAGAAAAGCACGGTCAACATGCTGCAGATGGCACACAAGGGAGAAAATGAAGCACCAAATTTAAAAATAATTTGGTTAAGACAACATCAGCAAATGAGATTGATATTTTCAAATGAGTGGAGAGAGCTCAAAAGCCTAACTAAAACAAACATGAAATGAACTAGAAGAAAAGTCACATCAACTGTTAAGTGTGCTTTGTGAGCTCTAAGCAGAAGAAAAGGTCCAAGTATTTTCAGTATAAAAAAGGAAGACATGACAATTATCTGTGACCAAAGAAAAAGGTAGAAAATTTTAAGAAAGATCGTTTTGAATGTGATCAGCATTTTCATGGAAGACAAGCCTGAAGATGGCCTGAAGAAAAGAAAGTTTGACAATTCATGATGCAGTAAAAATTGGTTAGGGCTTGAATTCAATTAAGTAGAATAGTAGTTTAACTAAACAGAAGACAAAATTAACAGTGAAAATGAGGTTTTGCTTTATTGTAAGATCCCAACCAACATTTTACAATTGCGCTCTACTTTTTATATTTTTTAAATTGGTTAAGATGCTAGCTATTTAAAAGCTAAATTAGGGTAACACACTATGGAGACGTCATTCATATTTCTGAACAATCTTAAATTATTCCATTCAAATGCTGTAATTCAATTGCAAGGAGGACTTACTGAAGCACACAGACTTTGATACGAGTCCTTTTTCCATTAGGAAAAACATTTTGCATATGTATAAAACATCCATACTGACGCTGACTTAAGTTCAAAGTGCATATTCATGTATGAGGACATTTTGGGATTTGATTTTTTTTTTTTAAATTGTTAGTACATTTTTGCAAATGTATCCCCAGTTCTGTTAAGTTTCCCATGCTGCAGCGCATATGGTGGCAGTAATGCAATCTGTTAAAATTTTCAGCAGTTAGACATGCAATGGTAGCCATGCTTTTCTTACTCAGCTACAAAATTATGGTACTTGAGGCAGCTACATTTCGATATCAATATATGTAAGAGATCACCATCGTCCAGCTACATTTTGGGAAAGAATTGCAAGTACTTCCATTGTGAAAGTTTCTACTGCTTCAATAAAATATTTTTCCTTACAAAGAAAAAAATTAAGATTTAACACTGATCATCAAGTGAAGACAAAAATCTTACAACACGTAATCAATAGTTCCCAAAAATAGTTTAAGTATATTAACAGGAAATTTCATTTATTCACTGCATAAGCTCGAATAATTCTCCAGTAACTTGTATGTTTAGCTAGACCATGCTTTAAGCACTGGATTCCTTCCAGGACAGACTGAAGAACTGTGGATTTTGTTTAAGATAAACTCATGCAGGAACATCACTCCTCTCAGAAACGTAAATCACCCTTTTCACATTATAATGCAAGTTTTTCCTCACTTAAGTTTATAATGTTCAATGCAAAGCATTTGCATTTAATAATTGCATGTCATTGTAGCTTTAATTTTTTGAAATCTAACTCTGCAGAGCTGATTTTAAAGGTTAAAAGAAAAACAAGTCAACTCTACTGCTTGTCGTCCATGCTTATGGATTCATTAGGCAAACACCGACATAATCTTATTTGCCAGTTTATTTCACTAAGAAACAGATTGTTATTTCATGTTATCTGTATTTAGCGCCCAGACTCAGCTCTGTAGAACTGCTAGCAGTACTACCGTTATGTATTTGAACAATTATTCCACACATCGTCTTCATTTCCAGTAACCTTTTATTGCACACAATAACTTAAGTGTGAAAAAAAGATGAGATTCATCCTAATCTCCAAAGAAAATCATATGCATTACCTAATTTTACTGAAGAACTATGCTGACAGCAAGTTTTATCACTTGAAGCACACTGCTGCCCCTTGGATACACAAAGCTACCCCCCCACCACCACTTCTCCCCAATACTGCAATACATTCACTTCCTCAGAACTCACCACTAGATTCATTAAAATTCTTTATACAACAAACAGTGGCACAAATCAGGACAAAACCTATTTCTAGGGAAATCATAACATATCTCTCTTTCTCTCTGTTTCATCCAACATTCATGAATTTTTGTGTCATATTCTCCTTTTACATGGTAAGAACTATATTTGCCATAGTTGATTTTTAATACACAAGAAGCATCACTGTTGTATTTTATAACTAATTAGTACTAACAGTCCCGCTACTATTAGTCCCACTGCAGAAAATAAATTGCAGCTCTTCACTACTTGAAATTGTATTTCTCCACCCCAACAAATGTTGGGGCACCCAGTGGTTCTCTTACACTTCTGGCACTCCAAAACAGACAGACTTCAAAAATTCTACATGAAGGATGCATCAACTAAGGGTTAATCAATCAACTTAAGTACAGAGAATGATCAACATGAATGAAAGGTCTGAATATATTTTTTTCTACTCAAAATATAATTTGAAATTCATTTTAAAATCATCTTATCACTAAAGGAATCATTTTATTTACCTTCAGTACGTTTCTTAGCAAATATTTAATGCAGTCTCCAAGCCAGCTACAGTACTCAACATATTCAAATTAATCTAAAAGACTGACTTTACTTCAATGTTATATATTTTCAGTATTTTAATTCCCTGTTTCTAACACTGCAAATTGTACATCCAGTATGTATGTCATTACTAAAGCCATGAACACATGCTATCCCTTCCAAGCACTTCTGGTACCAAAAATTCATACGATTAATTCCACAGAAATATGCTTAGGATCCATCCATTACTCTACATCACTGGATTTGCAATTTCTTGTGGTTTATGAGAAAGCATCAAGTTCTTACATTGCCCAGCAACTGAAATACAAACTAACCCTTCAGACGCAGCTGCAAGCATTTAGAAGTATATTAGTAAGCACAGATTTATTATTTTTTTTTCCTACCACTCTTAGAAGATAAATCCAGACAAAAAATTGAAAGCTTCAAGCTTGAAAAACATAACACTCACAAAGCTAAGCTTCTTACTTTCATCTGTCTTGGAGAGGTGACTACTTACAGATTTGGCAGTTGCAGAAATGTATTGGACAACCATCTCACGTTTTGTGGTCAAGTCTTTATCTCTTAAAGGAGCTTTTCGTTCTTCATTTAGATTCATGTCTTCCTGTAAAGAAACAGACCACACAACATCAAGATTCTACTTCATGCTTTTTACTAGTCTTTGTTATTTTTACACTCCTTTTCTTAAATAAATAGCTCATTTTTCAACAAACAGAAGTGACTTTTTCCAGCTTATCTGCGTTTCAGTTTGTTTAACTCTGAGCTACCCAATTTTCTCATTTAATTCTGTCACTTCAAGTGTTCACTGTTTTCAAGACTTACCCCAAATTATAATTGCATCAAGGGTAGTTACCATTAGTGAAATTTGGCTCAAAAAAAAAAAACCCTAGAGAACAAAACAGAAAAGTTCTACACCTTAAGTTGATCACATAAGTGTTAACTCTTGTGAAGTTCCTGTGTTTTTTATAAAATCTTATCACAAGGGACACCATTCCTGTACCATGTAATCAGAAGGCTGTTACTACACAGATTATTAGCTTGTGGCAGGGGTAGATGTGAATGCGTTCCAACTGATGTATTTAAAACAAACCTAAAAATCCAAATATTCTGCTAGATTAACTCTGAAGATGCCTGTTTCAACCTAATAATCGATTATATACAACATGTAGTCATTACTAGTCGCGACTAGTCTTGCCATTAAAAGTCAAAGTAACTTCAGATTAGCAACTGAGACCAGTAAATGTTACTGTAATAACTTACTAGCTAACAGCTTTTTCAAAGAATTATTAGTCTCTGGAAGCAGACCTATTGTCTGCTTCAATTAACATTACTTGGAAAAGTTAAAAATTAATCCCTTAATCTAACAAGCAAATCAAGCAAGTATTAATTAACACTTATCCAATCTTTCAAAAGAGATTCACAACGTCATTGAACAGAGTAGAGCTACACAATGGAACGGGACATTTCTTAGGCCATACTGACTGTATGTAAGTTTACAACATTTTTCAAGAATGATACAGAAAACTATTTCTAATAATACTTGAAAGATTGCATTTCCTGATACTTCATGTATCAACACCGATGTGCATGGCAGAATTAATACGCACCTACTTCAAAAGTTTGTTTCTGTATTACTAATAGAAAAGCTTGCTTGTGAGTAAAATCACAAACCTTGACAAGTGATCCTAAGATAGAAAATATTCAAGACCATACAAAAATTCAGCTTTCTATACATTAAGTTTTTATTAATGGAAATGACCATTTCCCAAAGGTATTTACTTAAGTTTATTAAAAACGATCCTTCAACAGCAGTATCTAACAACTGCAACCAAGGTCTATAGAGGTTATCTTAATGAAGCAATCAACAGCTTAAGATTTTTATTTTTGGCTTTTTGCCTTTGTTTTCTCTGTAGAAGTAGACCAAGTAATTTAAACATATATAATACTAGCATTCTATGAGTTACTCAATTGTTTATGTGCCAGTTCAGACAGGTCTATCAGGCCTATGCTATGCTATGCCCTCCCAAATAGTTAATACTTCCAAAATGACATCATTTGAAAAATCACTACTATATAATAAATGCTAGCATGAGAACAAATTAAAACCTCATAAAACAACGTAGCACATCATCTTACCATCATTTTTTCAAACAGATCCATAACTTCTTTTTCTGATAAGTTCATGCAACGCTCATCAACAAGCACCTGGGCAAGAGGGATTTCACTTATAGAAGGTTGAGAGTCAATAGGATGCTGAATGAGAGGCTTCTCTTTTTTCACTGCTGATTTTCTGAAGCTTGTTATTCTGTCACGCTGCAAAGACATCCATTTAAAAATTAGCAGAAATAGAAATACAGGAAAGCAGCCAATTACATGGCAGTAATACACACATTTTTAGTTAATCCAAGCAGCAGAGTTAAAACTCAAACTGAACTGTAAGTAAAAATACCCTAACATTCAGAGATTACTTTTCATCGAAAGACAACAACATTTAAGGTAAATTCATGACAGGTCACATGCAAAAGGAATATAACTATTTCTCACAGTTTCAAAAGTATACCATCTATGTTAAACTCTTAGCATTTCAAAGTCTTGAGTTCATCTTCTCACATTACTCCCTAATTATCCTGATAGTGAATAAATATGGTACCACAAAGGTAATGTCCAAGCGTTCCTTCACCTGAAGAGCTATAAGTCTTTGGAGGACAACTGAAAAAGCCAGCGTTGGGAAGGAGGTACTCACAAGTTCATCAGGCTTATAAAAAAATCCTGCTAAAGTAAAATAAAGTTTGTAGAGGAATTAATGCTCCAAGTATACAATTCCTTGAAGTGTTTTTGAGTACGGACTCCTGAAATTAGTGCATAATTTTAAAAAGCCAGGTAATGGATTACTCACATAGAAGCAGCCATCCATAGTTATATACACATAACAGACATTAGTGAAAGCATATCATACAGTCTGCAACGAAGTTTAACAAGTTAAGGCTGACTTGTTTTATGCCTTATACCAAACCCCCACCTTTTTTTTTTTTTTAAAGCATGCTTACTCAGTTAATTTGTTAATATTGGAAACAACCAACAAGAGCACCTTCCTTATAAGGCCATTTATTACTGCTTTATTAATATATAACTCTACTCTGAATAGAGTAAGAATTTTTTTATTTAATAATACTGTCTTTAACTATATATATATGTAAGTTCATTTTGAGAACGTTATGTCTATAGCGATTTTTCTAAATTAACTGTTTGCATCAACAAATACTAGTGTATTTGTTTCAGGCATTGAACAGCCTTATGAAGATGTGCTTTCATCTAACAGCAGCTTATGTAGGGTTACCAGTAACATTCACAGCAGTTACTGCAATCTCTACGAAGACATGTAAACCAACATTTCTATTTTCTAGAATTAAACCACCTCTGTGAGGTGTGAAAAGTTTAATGGAGTATTTTCATTTGTAGGAAATTTGGATTCATTTTAGTCAGTCAGTCATTTAGTCCAGTCAGGAGTGGAGAAATTGGACCAAGTGCTGTGGAATATGGGGAAGAAAGGTTCTTTTATTTTTCTTTTTTTCTTTTATTGTTTTGTTTTCTTTTTCTTGGTTTGTTTTGCTGTTGGGTTTGTTTTGTTGTTTTTTGAGATCCTACGAGACTACCTTAAATTTCTGAAGGGAAAGTATCCCTAGATAAGCTGCATTCCCTTTGAATTTCTTTAGAGGTTTTTTTGGTTTGTGTTTTTGACGGGAGGGGGTTTGGGTTTTCTTCTTCCTTAGAAGTCTTACATTTGTGGACAGAAACACATTACCTACAAGGATACTGTTAACGTCTTTAACAAGGCAAGAATTTTACTTTAATCCCATTTTTTCTTTCTTAGAATAGTTTACATTACATTTTTTGAAATTAAAATTAGGGCATAGCCTACTGAAAAGGCCAAAGATGACATAATGCCTGAAAGGCAGTATCCAAAACTAGCCAATATACATCAAATGCAGTTTTACTGTTCACTTACATTGAAATGCCCATTCAGCAGTCACCAAAAAAAAAAAAAAAAAAAATTTAAAATCAATTTCGCCATACTGTGATCTGTTTCAAGTATACCTTATTAACAACAAATTTGTTTAATCAGATTGCAACGGGGAGATCAGTTTAAAACCATAAGTGAATCTTCTACATGATTACTAGACAATTTCTTCATTTCAGACATGTAAGTGATGATTAACTAAGTGGCCAGGGTGGCTTAACTATTATACATAGAAAATAAAAGTGTATAATTCTACTGAAATCAATTTTGATATGTTTCTGTAGAAATACTTTACAACAGGTTTCAAAGTATTCAGAATTATAAAGTTAGTGCTACTGAATACAAACTTGTTGTTTGACATATAGTACACACTTATTACCCAAAATGGTTCCACTTGAATCATGTGGCAACTAACTTTGAAGAACCACTGCAGATCCTTTACTGTTAAAAAGAAGGTCAAAAGAAGTAACACTTGAACTGTTGAGTAACAGTTTCAACATATCCACAGTATTACTGAAGTGTTTAGAATGTGGTCAATGAAGCTTATCCAAATAGAAATCACTAATTACTCTTCTTCAACTGAAGTTACAAATGAAGATCTTTAGGTATAGTAACTCAATTTTCCGAAATCTAATCCTTAATATCCTTATAAGAACATGTTATATTGTCCACAACATTTGAAGTTAAATAGCATGCAGCGTGGAGTTACCATTGCAAATTAAGATGTTACAAAGACCTTACCACATCATCTGCCAAAGTTTTTATTTGAATATTCTATTAAAAAAAAAAAACACACACACAAATCAAAGAAAAAAAAGACAATGTTACCTACTGTTTCAGAATAAAATAGTCTGTATTTCATGTATTCTAACATTAAAAAGCACTTGAAATTTCAGTAAGTGTTCTAACAAAACTGCAGGTAAAAGAGCATGGAATCTACTGCATTTTGTGTGAAAAAGTAGGCTTGCATCCCATTTCACCTTGTCTTTTGACGATTTAACTCATGAACCTGTAACCTGTATAGCTCTAGCACCCCCACTATTTCATAAAAATGCAGTAGGATCTCTTACAAAGCTTTCCAAAACAAACATGAACTACTGGACTTCAAACTGAGTCAGCAGATAGCTATATAACATTCTCAGTTTTGACAGAGTTTTTGAGACTGAGAGTTGAGGAGAATTTCCTGTGCCCTGGCTTCTTGAGCCTTCTGCCAATTTCTCCTTAACAATGAGTAATGTAAATGGATAGATGAACTGGTTAAAGCCAGTGTACTGATGATGCACAATCCAGTCGCTGCTACCTCTCCCTCCCTAGTACCTTCTCACTTTTTCCTTAACAGCAGTAAAATCCTACTGACAGAGATCACCAACATTACATTTTTATTCACGGCCAAAAAAGCAATCTATATTGCATACCAATAATCATATCAAGGAACCATTCAGTCAATAAACATTGCTCAATTTACACCAAGCAGTCATGAATAGGTAATTAAGGTCTAGAACTTCAGGGGCCGGGGGGGGGGGCGGCAAATCCGGGACAAAAAGAACTGCTGTACATGAAAAAGTGTGGTAGTTGATCCATAACGACACAGCCCTGCAAGTCACTGGTTAGGAAATAGCGACCCTATTTTCTTGGACAGCAAGGTTTCAGATTCCTTGGTTATGCTTTCACCAGCCAAAATGATCAAGATGCTTCTAGTCAATATCCCATACCACTGTGTATTGTTAACACAGTGGATGAGTTCAATGTTACTGGAAGTGAACTGATAACTGTTCAACATACACCACACAATATTTTTACTTCCCCTTGGTGGAAGATATGCTCCTTCTAATTCTACTTTCTGTCTCTTGGCTACATTTGTCAATATTGTATTTCTGAAACAAAGACATTTGCAAGACTATTCAAATAGTGGAGGAGGCATCAAAGGTGGGAATGAAGGGCAATGTGTTCATACTTTAGAAGTATAATGAAGATAAGCATTCAGAGGTATGCAGGACAGTGTGGTGGATTGACCCTGGCTGGCAGGTCAGTCCCCACCCAGCCACTTGCTCATTCCCTTGCAGTGGGATCAGAATCAGAAGTGCAAAAGCAAGAAAAAAAATCATGTGTTGAGATAAAGACAGTTTAACAAGTGAAGGAAAAAAAAATAGATAAAGAAACAAACGATGCAAAAGCCATCACTCACCACCAGCAGACCAATACCTACCCAGCCTCTGAGCAACTGCTACTTTGGAAAAAACTCCTCCTCCCCACCCCGCCACCCCTGAAAAAAAAATAGATAAAGAAACAAACGATGCAAAAGCCATCACTCACCACCAGCAGACCAATACCTACCCAGCCTCTGAGCAACTGCTACTTTGGAAAAACTCCTCCTCCCCCACCCCGCCACCCCTGGTTTTATTGCTGAGCATGACATTATATGGTATATATGGAATATCTCTTTGGTCAGTTTGGATCAGCTGTCCTGGCTGTGCCCCCTCCCAACCTCTGGCCCACCCCATCCTACTCCTAGGGGGAGGCAGGGAGCACACTAAGAAACAGTAAGCTTTGACACTGGATAGGCGGTGTTTGGTGACCAAAACAGTGTTGATAAATCTAGAACACGGCACCATACAGTTTGTTATGAAGAAAATTAACTCCATTCCAGCCTGACCCAGTACAGACAGCTAGGATAAAATCTTTTTCTCTTACTACTCCAGATGTTGACACCAACCTTTCACCTTCCTAACTGCCATATCTCAAACCTCTTCCTTACAGCTACATCTCTCCTGTATTTTCGTTACCTGGACTTAGTATGGAGTTAAAAGAGGAAGCAATACTCTAATCCTGAAATGAAAACTAAGGTGTCCTTACTCTGGTAAACAGACCTTTTATTTTTAATGGAGATTATTGAGCAAGAAGTCCAAATGAAGTAAAGACTAACTATGACTTCAACCCAGAGACAGCTACGTAAGCAAGAAGTTCTAAAACTCTGTATCTGTTTTAGCAGTCACTTGTACTAGAAATACTTTTTTTCCTCCTTCTCATTTAAGTACTGTCAATCTCTCCCAGAACCTGGAACAGGATAATCTACTCCATCTCTACATTTATATTGCATTTGTCACTCAAACTCCTCTGGGCAAAATACAGAATACTAAAGCAAAATACCACACAGCATTTTTTCAGACATCTCAAGCTCACTTCCCAGATCTCCTTATGGCGCATAAACTATGCTGTTGCCAGTAGCTACTCAAGATAAGCAACACATTTAACAGGTAGAAGAGAAACTGCAAGTAGCTGGAGGCAAAGGCAAGGTAGTTATGTACCTGCAGATTCCCATTGACACACAATTTTGACAGTCTCTTATACTAACAAAGAAGTCACACTTCCAGTCTGATTTAAGAACATAAACCACAACTAGTTTACCTCCCCAGGAAGAAGTTTAAGATATCGCAGTTTTTGTAGTCAGACCTCTAGCATTATTCTTTCAGCCATCTATAAGACAGCCAGAGCACCACAAGAAATCAACCCTTTCCTAGCTTGTTAAAGACACTAACTCCCTGATTTTAGAAGCAGCCCAAAAGCAAAGGTTTTGCAAAAATACCTATAAATCATTTGGAGATGAGGGATATCAAATTATTATTTATATATCTAGCACACATACAATTTAAGACAACAGCTTATCATATCTCTCTCCTAGTTTTTAATATCAATGCAAAGCATGGAACTTCATCAACTCCTGTATCAAAGGACTATTTCCTACTGATTTACTTAGTTAATCACTTAGAAGACCTAAGTGACAGAGCTTCTCCCTTTCAAATGTAGTCTTTCCAGTCCATCAATTTCTATTTACTCCTCCCAATTTTAGTTTACTGTAAGTATCCCACTACTTGCATAAGTACTGACAGATCATGACAATAAGGCACACAAAAATCATAGCATATACTAATGCAACTGCATCGCATTATTCTTTTATCTTAAAAGGTCAGTCTCAGCCATGTTAATATTCAGAGTAATTGAAATCTCTCACATAAAAACAGTGGACAGATTTTCACCACAGTTCACTACATTTATTGGCATAAAAATCACTATTTCCTCATCCAAGCTCAGTTCAGGCTACTGCAGTAACAATGTCAACGTTCAAAGAATTAAATGACTTGAGATGATTGCATTAACTTTTAATGCAAAACTTACAGTGTCTATTTTTTTTTTAATCTTTTTCTAACTTATGTATTAATAAAACCTTCCAGATCACTTGAGCTGGACATGAGTTGTACATTAAGGTGCATTTACATGGGTTGATTGATCTTTCCATTATATTTAAGTATTACTTTGCCATGTTCTTAATTGTTACAGTCAAGACTCTCACTTCCACAACAAAAATAAAATCAAAAGCAACTCACAGTTTACCACATGTATAATGAAACAATGTTCAGCTGGGTAACTTCTAAACTTAACAGCAATTTTCACTCCACGGCACACCACTCAGGCAAATCATGGTAGCTGCAATACCCACTTCTGCACACAGGCTACAACTTCAGATAACAGCTCCAACTGCTGCTAGCAATCCTAATTTTCTAAGAGTAAAACAGAAACTTGACCTTCTCTTTAACTTTCTTGGTTTTAAACTAAGATGATATGACTGTTTTCTAAAATTTACCTGGACTACAACACCTGCAAAAGACTTCGTAAAACTTGGCTCAAGGATAAGTGTTTTTTAACTGGCTGTAAATAAATTTGCATGCAACCAGGAAGGGAGTAACTTCCCATATGAGTACCTGAACCAAAGGAATTTAAAGGGACAAAACCCAAAACTGGTTAATATCTGAAGTACAAAAAGTTGTTAGCAGTGAGTCTAGGTCTTACAGCCACAAAATAGAATTCACTCCTACAACCTCCGTTCGTCAGTACAGAGAATGAGTAACGTTCCCATTAGACAAATTTAACCATCTGTTAACATATTCCATTTTGTAATTAAATGTAAAAAGGTACTTAAGAAATTGTGAAAAGATACCTGAGTCACATTAGCTGATGTGCAGAAACTAGAACTACACACTCATTTAGGACTTTCAAGATCTTTATCCATGACAAAGTATACCTGGCATTACTAATAAAATTAGTAAAAATATAATTCACAAAATGTTTGCTTTATAGTAACTTTTTTGACACTTCAAGGAGCATTCACTATGCTTTCAAAAAGAGCTTGAAATGATTGTTGTAATCCATCAGGTATATCAAAGGTAGTTGAAATTAGCAAAACTAATAGTTTTGTTACTATTGTCACACATTTGCATTTGGTCTATATGACAGCACATAGAAAATTCTTGTTTGCTTTGCAGCTGTTCACTTAAAAAATCCTTAAATATGTATTGTTTAAATTATTAAACTGAGGCTTAATCTTTAACCTGAAGGTAAACATTCCCTGAGGCGCTACAAAGGGAGACCAAGGAGCTTGTGAACACCTTACACCAGGCTGCTAAAATGAAGCTGGAAAGTTATTCATGTTGACAGCACAAAGGTAGCACACAGAGAGTCAGCACTGTTAGACTGGAGGATGGCAGCCATCTTCCCAACCAGGAAGCTGCCTGGTTTTCCCCGATTACTCTACTTTTTTCCCCAGGATACTGACCATCCAGAAATGACCAATACTAGGAAAAGAAGTTAGACACCTCCTCATGCTAAATAAAGCCAGAGGGTCACCCAAGTTGGTATTTATTAACAGCAGAGGGCACCAATTCTTTAATCATAGTGCTGGAAGATTTGAGTGCCTCAAAGCTGCGCCCAAATAGGAGGGA